ATTTCCTGCCTTCTGTTAGATTTTATTTGGTTCTTTTTCTAGTTCCTTAGGAAGTTAGTTTGTTGATTTTACGATGTTTGTTTTAATAAAAATATCTATTTTGTCAATTTCTTTTATTGGCACTTCAGGAAAACAAGTCATACTTATTGTTTGACTTTTGCTTGGCATAGCTCATAGTGTTTGTTACTCTAGGGAAACAAATTTGAAAAGATCAATTTTAGGCCATTTGAAAATTGAAGCCAGTAAGCGTATGAGTAGGTCTCACATTTATGAAGAAAAAAAGAAAAATTGGGTACTGTTTTTATATAGAACCACTCATTTATTTCTTCACTCACTCATTCAGTCATTCATTCATTCATTGAGCCTACAAAAGGCTGAACCATACATTCACCATTAAAAATGAAAAGGTGAATTGTCTTTGGTTTTTGCCACAATATGAAATGGTAGAGACAGTCATGTAAGTAAGTAATTGTTTCCATGCAATTTGTGCTTCAGCTGAGTTAACACAAGTTAGCATATAGAACTACAGAGAGAAAGTGTGTGGAAGATGAGGCCAGGGTGGCGGTGATGTTTTAGATGAATGCCTAAGGTTCGATAGAAAGAATGCCCAAGACAGGGAGGAATATTTCAGGCAGCTCCTGTAATGTTCTGTATGGTGGATCAGGGTGGAAAGAAGGCATGCACTCGGGAAGCAGCAGTTTGTTGGCACAAGCAGAGACTATAATGCATAGAGATGAGTGGTGGGAGATGAGTGGTGGAAGATGAGGCTGAAAAGGTGGGTAGAAATCAACTCACTTTAAACACATACTAAGGAATTTGGATTTTTCTTTTCTTTTTTTTTTTTTTTTCTTTTTGAGACAGAGTCTCTCTCTCTCTCTGTCTCCCAGGCTGGAGTACAGTGGCACAATTTCAGCTCAACCACAACCTCCGCCTCCTAGGTTCAAGCGATTCTCCTGTCTCAGCCTCCTGAGTAGCTGGGATTACAGGAACCCACCACCACGACCAGCTAGTTTTCGTATTTTTAGTGTAGACAGCATTTTACCATGTTGACCAGGCTGGTCTCAAGCTCCTGACCTCAGGTGATCCACCCACCTTGGCCTCCCAAAGTGCTGGGATTACAAGCATGAGCCACTGTGCCCAGCCAGGAATTTGAATTTTATCAACAAGATTATGTATGATCTTTGAAGTTTCATCACAATTTATTCATTTATTTCTCTGACATAAATTGAATCCCAATGTGCTAGTCATGTATTGGATTTAGGATACAAATACAAATGAAGCATTGAGTTGTTTCTATTCTCAACTCTCTCAGTTGAAACACAACAAATATCAGGCACAACAAATGAAAAATGAAATGTCAAGTTTGATAAGTACTAAGACTACATTCGGTACCAGATACCAACAGGCAGAAAGGAAGACATGGCACAGGATATACTGGATATGAGATAAGACACTAATTATTTGATACGTGAGAGAAGGAAAAACAGAAATGCAAACAAAATCATGAGGCCTGGAAGAACACTGTTCTTAAAAAGCAACAGTTTTCCCCCTGTGGCTTGAGTTAGCATAGGAACAAGAGAGGTGAGGCTAATGATCTAAGTGTAGGAATACATTCTGCCTGCACTTCTCGTATCTCTTACAATTCTGAGTTCTCTGAGCAAGGGCATTTACAGCCATTGTATAAGGTAAAATTCCAAGAAAGTGAAGAATAGGGTCAGACATCTCTTTAGATGTCTTAAGGTAAAAAGATGAAGACTGTCCTTCCTTTCTCCGAAAAAGAATGGCTTACATTACATGAGTGATCTCTCTCTGGAAAGGAGAATATAGACAGGTCAGCAGTGGCTCTGTGTAAGATCAGAATTTACCTATTTTGTGGTGTCTCCCTTATAATGCACTCCATGCATATGCAGGTGCCATTTGACTTGGAAATGGGGATCGAGGTGCCAGATGGTGCTCTGGCTGCTGCTTTTGAGCAGTAGTGAGCCATCTTAGCTCCTGATGCAGGAGCCTGGTATCTTTCGCCAGTGTCTGTCTATCTATTGTCAGCACATAGATATGACTGCCAGGGGCTTACTGCTATATTTCAACTGGGGCAAAAACCTCAGATCCTTTCCAGTTCCTGATTTAACAGTTGGCAAGGCCTATACCACCCCTCCATGTTCCAGGTCAGTGACTTTAAACTTTAACTGACAGGAAATCTTTACAGAGATAAGTTCTGATACTGGATTTGAGTTTTTAAAAGAATGAGTTAAAGGCTGGGGGTGGAAGATGAGCCCATAGGCTACTAAGGTCCACTGAGAACATTAAAAAACAAAATATTAGTGAGCTCCCAGAAGAGATTTAGAGGAAAACAGAGCAGCAAAGGCCATGATGTAATGCCTGATGTTGTTGTCCACTGTCTCAGGCACTGGGGTACAGAAATGAACAAGACACATTGCTACGGTCCTACAGTCTATAGGAAGTATTAATACAGTATTGAGTACAGACTTCTAACACTAACAAGAAAGAACTAAAGTGCTCATTTGTTTTGTGCATTGCTAATATCCTTAGAGTTTATAGAGAGGTGCAGGCAGAAATCTGTTAAGAATGGAAGCGGAGGAAAAGCTAAGTTGTTACTCTATTTACAAACCTAACAGTTAGTCTGTATTATTTTATGGGTGCTAGCAAGAGACAAGAGATTCCTAGATCAGGGACAGAGGACTGTATTACTCATCACAGAAGCAGTAGCCAGAGCTGCATGTTTCTTCGCATCAGTTATCTATGCCCTCAAAATTTCAAGGGATGACATCAAGGGCCCATGAGAGATGCATGCGCATGCAGAGGAACACAAAATAGGAGTTCTCTGTTTTTACGGTGAGTTGGTGAGCAGTGAACAAGCTTGTTATCTGGGAGAAGATCTCATTTTATCTCTCAAGGCTACTCGCTGCAAATCCAACCCTGAGAAATGTCCTGAGGAAAGAGCAGTTGGACCTTCTGCTCCTGGCATACCCAGTAAGAGTATGCAGAGATGCTGGGGCCCATGGCAGGTCATGTCTCCCAACAATGGCTGACTCTTGGAGTCTGAATATCATGGAGCAAACATAAATCAGGGTCAGAGACTCAGCTGGAAGGGTTCTGGGAGGTGGGGGAGTAATTTTGCACTTTCTTAGAGCCCCCAAATTCAAGATTTCACTTCCAGGATTCCTGCTGCTTAGCCTTGGTCTTGGAATAAGAGGACATTTTTGTGCTTAACCCTATATTTAAATATATACAGTTGATCCTTGATCATGTCGGGACTAAACTGCATGGGTCCACTTCCCATAGAGGTTTACAAGTAAATATATTTTTTAAAATTTGGAGATTCATGGTATTTTTAAAGAAATCACCTTTCTCTAGCTTACTGTATTATAAGAATATAATACATAGTACATATAACAAATATGAAGTTATTCATATCAAATATGAAGTTCTGGGTGGAAAGTTCTTTTCTTTAAGGATGTGAATATTGGCCCCCACTCCCTCTGGCTTGTAGGGTTTCTGCTGAGAGATCCGCTGTGAGTCTGATGGTCTTTCCTTTGAAGGTGACTCAACCTTTCTCTCTGGCTGCCCTTAGTATTTTTTCTTTCATTTCAACCCTGGTGAATTTGATAGTTATGTGTGCCTTAGGGTTGCTCTTCTTGAGGAATATCTTTGTGGTGTTCTCTGTATTTCCTAGATTTGAATGTTGGCCTGCCCTGTTAGGTTGGAGAAGTTCTCTTGAATAATATCTTGAAGAGTGTTTTCCAACTTGGATTTGTTCTCCCCGTCACATTCAGGAACACTGATCAAGCGTAGATGAGGTCTTTTCACAATCCCGTAGTTCTTGGAGGCTTTGTTCACTTTTTTCACTCTTTTTTCTTTAATCTTGCCGTCTCAGTTTATTTCATTGACTTGATCTTCTATCTCTGATATCCTTTCTTCTGCCTGATCGATTCAGCTGTTGAAACTTGCGTATGCCTCACCAAGTTCTCCAGCTGTGTTTTTCAGCTCCATCAAGTCATTTATGTTCTCTAAGCTGGTTATTCTAATTCGCATTTAATCTAACCTTTTTTCAAGGTTCTTAGTTTCTTTGCATTGGGTTAAAATCTAGTCCTTTAACTCAGAGAAGTTTATTACCCACCTTCTGAAACCTGCTTCCGTCAATTCATCAAATTCATTCTCTGTCTTTTTTTGTTCCCTTTATGGTGAGGAGTTGTGATCCCTGGGAAGGGAAGAGGTGTTCTGGTCTTTGATGGTTTCATCTTTTTTGCGCTGTTTTTTTCCCATCTTGGTGGATTTATCTCCCTTTGATATTTGAAGCTGGTGATTTTGGGAGGAGTCTCTGTTGGAGCTATATCCTTTTTGGCCTGTAGATGGCGATGCTGGGCTCTCTCAGATTCAGTCAGGTTGCTGGGTGGGTGGTCCTTTCCTGGAGTGAGTTTGCAGGTGAGACTGGCCTCGCCTTTCCACTAGCATCTCTCCTTCCCGGAGCTTGATCTGCCTGGTTGGGGTCAAACTGGTGTATTCGTTACCAAACTCTCTAGGGACTTTGAGTTCTGGGGGCCTGCCAGCCTTATGGCCTGTTTCCCTGCTTTCAACTCTGCCTCTTTTTGTGGAACGATCCATCCTGCTTGTGTTAGTCCAAACTTCAGCCCAGGTGGGTGCAACAACTTGCCATGCCCGGCGAGAGCCACAGCTCAGATTTACATCAACAACCCACGGCGCCCCTCAGTCTGGCAGGGCTCTCGTGGACTGTCGGTTATAGGAGGGATGAGCTAAGCATAGGATCCAAATCAGAGCACCAAGGGGGTGAAGTCCCCTGACCCTCCGAGCCGGCTGCACATTGCAGGTGGGGACATACCCTGCCCTGTCTTGGTTTGCCCCCCTGGGCAGCTCTTGCATAGCTCAATTAATCTTTTATAAATTATGTGTCTTCTTCTTGACAATCTTTAATAACTCTCTCAGGTTGAGATCAAACTCTGTTCACCTGGTTTATAAAAGGTTTCCAAATCTACTGTTTACTTATTAACTGTGTTAAGAGGACATTTTCCATGTAAAAGATTAATTTTTTACATATCCAGATATCTCCCTCCTGCCAGGATTTTTTTTTCTCTTTTTGGTTTATTAAACAAGGTCTTCTTTCACTCAAGAGTGCACTTTGGACATTGCATGTAAGTTATTTCTCCTTTTTATGCTTTATATCATTTATATATCTGGAATTTTTTAGATATATATGATGTCACAAGGTATCCAATTCTATTTTTAAGGTCAATAATGTATTTTCAAGCCTTATTTATTAAATAACTTATATAATAACTTATATGCACTATCTTTTGAATAATTTCTTAAATTCTTATACAAATAATAACTAATTCTGAATTTCCAATTCTATTTAACTGATATTTCTGTGTAACTTTACACCAATGTGATTGTTATTTAGAATATATTGGCTTTGTAATATGATGTGAGGTCCATTAAAGCAAGTTTCCCTCACTGTTCTACCTTTTCATAAATTTTCTGTCTTGCATTAATTTTTATACACACTTAAAGAATATTGTATCCAATTAAAAGCAAGTCAGTTGGAATTTGAGATAGAATATCTTGGAGATATATATATTGTTTTATGAGATTTACATTTTAATAGATTGTCCTCTGATCCAAAATTTTACATTTTATTTGTTCAGATCTTATTATATGCCTTCAGTGATACTGCATAGTTTTATTCTGTGAAAACTCTATTATTCTTGTCAATTTTATTCCTAAGTATTTTGAAGTTGTTATCTTAGTGAATGCAACATTTTTTTCATTCCACTTCTAGATGCTTTGGATCTAGTTTTGTGTACTTGTTTTCTATGCAGTCAATACAGAAGTTTCTAGTTCATTCTATTGAGTGTTTTTTTACTAGGATCTCTTCAATTTTCTAGGTGTATAATAATGTCCAGTTTTTCACCAGTTGTTGTCTTTTGACATTGTATTTGCAACATTCAAGACAATATAGTTAGCCAATTCTACAGGCTCATGCCTGTAATCCCAGCACTTTGGAAGGCCAGGACAGGCAGATCACGAGGTCAGGAGTTCAAAACCAGCCTGGCCAACATAGTAAAACCCCACCTCTACAAAATATACCAAAAAAATTAGCCAGGCATGGTGGTAGGTGCCTGTAATCCCAGCTACTTGGGAGGCTGAGGCAGGAGAATCACATAAACCCGGGAGACAGAGGTTGCAGTGATCTGGAATTACACCACTGCACTCCAGCCTGGGCAACAGAGCAAGACTCTGTCTCAAAGGGGGAGAGAGAGAGAGAGAGAGAGAGAGAGAGAGAGAGAGAGAGAGAGAGAGATTGAGATAATTAAAAAGAATGAAGCAGAAATTCTTGACCAGGCTCCGTGGCTCATGCCTGAATCCTAGCACTTTGGGAGGCTGAGTCAGGCAGATCACGAGGTCAGGAGTTCAACACCAGAATGGCCAACACAGTGAAACCCTGCCTGTACTAAAAATACAAAAAATTACCCATCGTGGTGTTGGATGCCTGTAATCCCAGCTACTCAGGAAGCTGAGGCAGCAGAATCGCATAAACCTGGGAGGCAGAGGTGCAGTGAGCCAAGATTACATCATTGCACTCTAACCCTGGGTGAGAGTGTGAGACTCGGAGTCAAAAAAAAAAAAATTCTGGAGCTGACCAATGCAATATATAGAAGAATGCATCATACTTTTTAGGAATAGAATTGAACAAGGAGAATTAATGAGCTTGAAGACAAGCGATTTTAAAATAAACAGAGGAAAAAAGAAAAAAGAGAAAAGTCCGGCGCGGTGGCTCAAGCCTGTAATCCCAGCACTTTGGATCATGAGGTCAAGAGATCGAGACCATCCTGGTCAACATGGTGAAACCCTGTCTCTACTAAAAATACAAAAAATTAGCTGGGCATGGTGGCGTGTGCCTGTAATCCCAGCTACTCAGGAGGCTGAGGCAGGAGAATTGCCTGAACCCAGGAGGCAGAGGCTGCGGTGAGCCGAGATCGCGCCATTGCACTCCAGCCTGGGTAACAAGAGCGAAACTCTGTCTCAAAAAAAAAAAAAAAGAAAACAAGAAAACAATAGAGCATGCCTACAGGATCTAGAAGAGCCTCAAAAAAGGCAAATCTGAGTTACTGGGCTTAAGGATGAGATAGAGAAAGAAATAGAGGTAGAAAGTTTATTCAAAGGGATGGCAGAGAACTTCCCAAACCCGGAGAAAGAGATCAACACTGAAATACAAGAAGTCTGTAGAACATTAAGCAGATTTAATCCAAATAAGACTATCTCAAGGCATTTAATAGTCAAACTTTCAAAGATGAAAGACAAAGGATCCTAAAAGCAGCAAGAGAGAGATTTTTAAAAAGAAAACATAAAATAGAGCTCCAATACATCTGGCAGCAGACTTGTTAATAGAAACCTTACAGGCCAGGCAAGAGCAGCATGACATATTTAAAGTGCTGAAGAAAAAAGCTTTTACCCTGGAATAGTATATCTAGTGAAAATATCCTTCAAACCTGAAGAAGAAGTAAAGACTTTCCCAGATAAGCAGAAGCTGAGGGACTTTATCAATGTCAGGCCTGTCCTACAAGAAATGCTAAAGAGAGTACTTCAATCAGAAAGAAAAGGACAGGCCGGGTGCGGTGGCTCAAGCCTGTAATCCCAGCACTTTGGGAGGCCGAGGCGGGTGGATCACGAGGTCAAGAGATCGAGACCGTCCTGGTCAATATGGTGAAACCCCGTCTCTACTAAAAATACAAAAAAAAGTAGCTGGGCATGGTGGCACATGCCTGTAATCCGAGCTACTCAGGAAGCTGAGGCAGGAGAATTGCCTGAACCCAGGAGGCAGAGGTTGCGGTGAGCCGAGATCGCGCCATTGCACTCCAGCCTGGGTAACAAGAGCGAAACTCCGTCTCAAAAAAAAAAAAAGAAAGAAAGAAAGAAAAGGACATTAATGAGAAATAAGAAATCATCTGAATGTGCAGAATTCACTGGTAACCATAAGTACACAGGAAAACACAAATATTATAATACTGTAACTGTGATGTGTAAACTAATCCTAAGTAGATAAACTAATTGATGAACAAATTAAAAGAATAACAACTTTTCAAGACATACACAGTACAATATGATATAAATAGAAACAAAAAATTTAAAAACTGGGGTACAGACATAAAGCATAAAGTTTTTATTAGTTTTCTTTTGCCAGTTTTTTTGTTTATACAAACACAGTTGAGTTGTTATCAGCCTAAAATAATCAGAATAGCCCAATCTATCCTAAGCAAAAAAGACAAAACTGGAGGAATCACATTACCTGATCTCAAATTTCACTACAGAGCTTAGTAACCAAAACAGCGTGGTATTGTCATTAAAACAGACACATAGATTAGTGGAACAGAAAGGAAAACCCAGAAACATACACACACCTACAGTGCAGTTGTTTTCAACGAAGGTGATAAGAACATACACCAGAAAAAAAACAATCTCTTCTATAAATGGTACTGGGAAAACTGAATATCTATAAGCAGAAGAATGAAACTATACCCCTATCTCTTGACATATGCAAAAATCAAATCATAATGGGTTAAAGGCTTAAAGCTAAGAAACCAAACTATGAAACTACTATAAGGAAACATTGGGGAAATCTTCAGGACATTGGTCTGGGGAAAAATTTCTTGACTAATACCCTGTAAGTACAGGCAACCAAAGCAAAAATGGACAAACGTAATAATAAGTTAAAATGCTCTGCACAGCAAAGGAAATAATTGACTGCCACTGTGAAGAGATAACCCCTACAGAATGGGAGACAATATTTGCAAACTATCCATATAACAAGGTATTAATAACCAGAATATATCAGGAGCGCAAACAACTCTACAGGAAAAATAACTCAAATTTTTTAAAAATGGGCAAAAGATTTGAATAGACATTTCTTAAAACAAGACATAACAATGCCAAACAGATGTATGAAAAGGTGCTCAACATCACTGATCATCAGAGAAATGCAAATCAAATGCAAATAAAAACTACAGTGAGATATTATCTCACCCTAGTTAAAATGGCTTATATGAAAAGACAAGAAACAGAAAAAGCTGCAGAGAATGTGGAGAAAAAGGTAAGGCTCATACACTGTTGGTGAAAATGTAAATTAGTATAACCATTATGGAGAACATTATGTAAATTAGTCTAACCATTATGGAGGCACATCAAAAAACTAAAAATAGAGCTATCATAAGATTCATCAATCCCAATGCTGGGTATATGCCCAAAAGAAAGGAAAGCTATATACAGAAGAAATCTCTACACTCCCGTGTTGTTGCAGTACTGTTCAGAGTAGCTAAGATTTGGAAGCAACCTAAGTGTCCATCAACACATGAATTGATAAAGAAAATAGGACACATATACACAATGGAGTATTATTCAACCATAAAAAAGAGTGAGATCCTTTCATAGTTGGAACCAGAGATCATTATGTTAAGTGAAGTAAGCCAAGGACATAAAGACAAACATCACATATTCTCACGTTTGGAATCAAAAGTTCTAAACAAACAATTGAACTCATGGACACAGAGAGTGGAAGGATGGTTACCAGAGGATGCAAAGTGTAGTTGGGGAGGTGGGGGAGGAAAGTGGAGATGGTTAATGGGTACAAAACAATATAATAAATAAGAACTAAATATTTGATAGCACAGCAAGGTGATTATAGTCAATAAAAACTTAATTGTACATTTTGAAATAATGAAGAGTATAATTGGATTGTTTGTAACACAAACAATAAATGCTTGAGGGAATGGATACCCCATTCTCCATGATGTGATTATTACACATTGCATGCCTGTATCAAAGCATCTCATGTACCCCATAAATATATATACCTACTATGTACCCACAAAATTATAAAAATGTAATCAAATCAAGTCTTTAAATCCAATATTTGTTTACAGAAAGTGATAGAGAAACCAGCTAACACCACAAAAGAACCAATCAGAAAATCCAGAATGTACAATATTGGAATATTCTCTCCAGACAGCCAACACAGTTGGCTCAGTTCTTCCAGCAAACTGTGTGTGTGTGTGTGTGTGTGTGTGTGTGTGTGTGTGTGTGTGTACATGTGTTTTAAACAGAATTATTGGAGAATAAAAGGGACTTCAGACTGCAGCTGTCTTAGCCACACACTGAAATCACCTGGGTGTAGAGTGACGGGTCTCCCACCGGGTTACTTAAGGGTGAATGTCTGCTGCTTAAACCTTGAAGGCCAGGTGGTAAGCCAAGGCCATGGTGCCCACCTGAGGAGCAGGTATCCCTGAGAACCCAAACATCCCCAAAAGGATCTGAGAACCTACCAGGAGAAACAGCCCTATCACAGGCACACAGCAGGCAAAGAGCCAGAAAATTAGCTTAAAAGCAGCTTAGAGACTCTGGAACTGTTCTGCCGCTGTCCAGGAGTGCCCCATGTAAAGTCCTACTAAACTCATCTGCTCACCAGGCTGGACTTGTTACAGTCATTCTTCGGCCTCTCAGCTCCCTCCCAGTTTGGGAGAAGGCTTTTCTACACAATTTCAAGTTTTCCTCATCACAAGTAGAGTCGTGAACAGGATCCTAGGTACCAAATGATGCACGAGAGAGGGGCATCTGCAGGGGAATTACTGGGGTAACTGGAAACGTGTGTGGGGTGGAGCTGCCCTACTGTTTGAGCTTTGTGAGCCATCACATGAGTACCAGGATGCTCAGAAAACATAGACAAGGCCTGAGCACATATTGCAAATAGCTAATATATTCAAAGTACGATAAGGAGACCAAATGCACTGTTTCTGCAAAAAGGCTGGCTACTGAGGACTCATTAGAGCAGGAAAGGGAAAAAGTAGAAATTCCTGCAGAAGTTCAGAGGCATGCCAGCTCTGCTAGAAATCCAGCTTCTTATATGTTATGGCTTATTCCTGTGCACATTTTAAAACTGATGGGCAAATTGAAAAGAAAACTTTAGAGCTTAAATTGTTAACCTGCAACCATAGAGTTAATGAGAGTCTTCACAAATATTTCTCTCTTCTTTCCTTTTCTGCCTGTTTTGTATCTGCTGTTATTAAGCTACTGCTGTTGGGATAAAACTTGCTATTTGTATTACTGCCAATTCAAGGTTACTCAGGGATTTGTCTGATACAATAAGCCTTTAGTCTGATCAAGCAAAACAGAGAGAAAATACAAATGTTTAAAATCAAAAATGAAAGAGGAGACATTGCAATTCCTTTTAAACATAGATGAAATGACAAACTCTAGAAAAATATAAAATACTAAAACTGGAAAAATAGATAATCTGAATAGTCTTTTAACAAGTAAAGTGATTTAAATGCTAATATGTATTTTATAAATTCATAGATCAATTTTATAGATCAACTGGTAGTTCAGAAATAAATCAACGTATCTATGATCAATTTATTTTGACAAGCGTGCCAAGACCATTCAATGGGGAAAAACAGTCTCTTCAGCAAATGATTCTGGGACAACCGGATAACCACAGGCAAAAAAAGGAAGTTGGATCCCTACCTCACACTATATGTAAAAAATTAACTCAAAATGATTATAGACTTAAATATAAAATCTAGAGCTATAAAATCCTTAGAAGAAAACATAGACGTAAATCTTGATGATCTAGGATTCAGCAATTTTAGTTAATGCTACTAGAAGCAAAAGTGGCAAAAAAAGATAAACTGGATTTTATCAAAATTGTAAAGCTTTATGCTTCTAAAGACACCCACAAAATGTGAAATGACTGTTCATATAATGAGAGAAAATATTTCCATATCTTATATACATATTAAAAGACTTGTACCCAGAGTATATACAAAACAAATATAACTTGTTAATAAAAAGATAAATACCCCAATGAAAATATCAGAAAAGGACATAAACAGACATTTTATCCTAAAAAGATATACAAATGGCAATAAGTATGTGAGAAGATGCTCTATATAATCACTCAGGGAAATATAAATCAAAACTATGAGATACACTCTCAAAGATGGCTATAATTAAAAAGAGAAAATAAATCAGAGAAGATATGGAGAAATTGTAACTCTTATAAAATGCTGTTAGTAGCGTAAATAATGCCCCCATTTTGAAAAAAGCATTTGGCGGTTCCTCAAAAGGTTAAATATTGGTTTGTCATATGACTTACCAATTTCACTCCTAGATATGTAAACAAGGGGAATAAAATATATGTCCACACAGTAGCATGTACATGAATGTTTATAGCAGCATTATGCCTGATAATAAAAAGAGTAGAAAACACAAATGTTAATCAACTGGATAAACAACATGTGGTATATTCATACAATGGAACATTACTTAGCCATAAGCCATAAAGAGTTATGAAGTACTGATACATGCTACACCATGATGTAACCTTAAAAACATTATGCTTAGTAAAAAAGGCAGTCACAAAAGGCCACATATTATATAAATTCATTAATGTCAAATGTCCAGAACAGGCAAATCCATAGAGACAGAAAGTGGATGAGTAGTTGGCAGAAGGTGGAGGGATGAAGAAATGGGGAATTATTTCCATGAGTATGGGATTCCTTTGAAGGTAATGAAAATGTTTTAAAATTGTGGAGTGGTCACAACTCTATGACTACACTTTAAAAAGTCACTAACTTGTATACTTTAAAAAGGTGGTTTTATGGTATATAAATTGTATCTCATTAAAGTTGTTATTAAAATAGTCATTGTACTTTCTCTTCTCTACAGATTTCCCTTAACAAAGGGGGAAAAAACCTCTGCTTGACAGGAAAAGTAGAAGAAGATGAGTTTTACCAGATTGCTTTCTGTAAACCTGAATGATGGACACTTCATGCCTATGCTGGGGTTTGGCACCTCTGCCCCTAGGAAGGTAACCATAATGGTATTGGGGATGGAGGAGTACCAGGTGGTTCCTGACCAGAATCAGTCACTCTGTGAGTTTGGGAAATTCAGGTGGGCCTCACTTTTCTCATATGTAACACACTTATCACTAAGTTAGGTTCCTTTGTACATTAAGTCAGGGCTTTTCATGTTTTAGTAGATATATAAACACTTGAGGATCTTGTTAAAAATGTAGATTTAGAGGCCTTATCCTGAAGGTTCTGATTGAGTAGATCTTGAATGAGGCTCTAAAATTTACATTTATAGTAAACTTCCAACTGATTCAGATGCTGCTTGTCCAAAACCACTCTTGGAGTGGCACTCCATCAAGAGACATGGAAGTATGCATGCAATTGTTCAGAATTCAGGGGTGAGTAAGTCTGTTGCTGTTACTCTGGCCTCTGTCCAGTTGTAGCCATTTCACAGTAGAAGAAATGAAATCCTATTGACATGGTTACCATGTGCCAGAAACTCCACAGCAAAATTGTTTGTGAGAAAGTTGTGTTGTAATTTTTAATACCCAAGTCCTCCCTCTTCACCACTAATAAGAGTATCGAGAGAAAGTTCTGGGGCATAGGAACTTGGGAAAAGAGAGACAGGCTTAGAGGGAGCTGTGTGGTCTAGGTGGCCACGGTCTCTGAGAGGTCAGGTTGGTAAGATGGTGCCATAAAAGACTCACATGGTACTTGAAAAATTCCCTTCTCCTTGGCTCCATGCATGTTTGTGAATCAAGCACTGCAAACTTACAAGGGCACATCTCAGTGGTTGTTGGTGAAGAACATTATAATTATTTAAGAAAAGTTGTAGGATTGTTTTCCAACACAAGAGTAACATGGTGTTTACCACTGAGGACTACAAAGAAGACTGTCATGAAGTATTGCTTTTGCCATTCCTTGGCTCTTTAACCTGGTGATACTTAAAATCTTCACAGACTCGGTTGACTCAACAGTAGTTAGAAATGAAACAAATATACCCAAAGAGGCATTTTAATTACTGAGTGAGGTATAAAGGGTTCTAATATAAACAAAAATTATGGATGACTTCAAGAGTCCAGGCTGTTGGGCCAGAAGAATAATGGATGCCTAGGAAAAATAAGGATGTGAAGGAGAAAGTGTTGCTTAAGAACCAGCATAGCAGCCAAAAGAAGAAATAATTATGAGATTTTTTTTGAGTGAAAAAATAGTTTTACTTTTCAAATAATTGTTTTATTTTAAAAATCAAAATTATTTCAAACTATTTTTAAATAGCTTATTTTCCTTTAAAATAATTTTTTAAACTGTATCTATTTTTGTTCTTCCTCAAATGTTCTTTGCTTTTCCAAGTTAAAATAGGTAAATCAATATTTTATTGGATCTAAAGTTATATCTTTATGTTGATAATTATTAGCATTGAATTATTGGATCAAAACCAATTTTATAATCTCTTATAGAGCAAATTAAGTTAGGAATGTAAATCTATAGATTGTGCAAATCTTTAGATCATATATATACTATAAATACATAGATAGAGGTGTGTAAAGGCTGTGATGTGCTGAGTCTAGCTCATGAGGACTCAAAAGAGTGTATTGAGAGCATCTTTGCGCATTTTGGCAAGCTTGAACTTAGCCACGGTGGAAGAGTATTTACACTATAGAAATTGGCAAATGCTACAAACCAGGACTTCTTCAGAGTTAGTTGTTAAACATTTACCACTGATTGTTAATCAACATTTCGCTTTGCCACCTCTAGCTCTTAGCCCTTAGTGGAGGCGGCGGGGGATATTCTTTTGAATATCTCTTTAGAGAATTGATCATCTGTTTCTGAGCCAAACAGGGCTTTATCTCTTTATGCTCTTCCAGGTTGCCATGAGTAATGTAGAAGAAGCCGTCCAGGTGGCAATAGATGTAGGCTACCGCCATATTGACTCAGCTTATTCGTACCTGAATGAAGAAGCCATCGGGCAGGCCATCAGGAAGAAGATTGCCAATGGCACTGTGAAAAGAAACGATATATTCTATACCACAAAGGTACTATGTACCAACATGTCTGTGTCTCTGAGAAGTCACTCTAGGCTATAGAGCTCCTTGTCAAATTGCTCTTCATTGGTTTAATCTTCATCTCCTCAGACCTGCACCATGAGAAGTCTGGTTAGGAACGTGGTGGATTCTGTAATCAGACTTTTATATTTGAATTCAGGCTCTGACACTTAATAAATATGTGACCTTCCCTAGTCTATAGCAAGTGTAAAAATAAATAAATAAATATGTGCAACCTCCGACAAACTACTAAAACACTATCCTTCAGTTTCCCATGTTGTAAAATGAAGACAATATCATTTATCTCACAGAATTTTTATGAGTGTTACATTCTTAAAAATACATGTAAAGCTTGCTGAAAAGTATTTGGTACATTTCAGATGTCCAAAAATGCTGTTATTATTATCATAATTTTTAAACTCAGAAATGATTTGGCTCTTCCTACTCTACTATAGTCAAGTTTTGACAAAGTGACTTAATCTGTCTTAGCTAAAGTATGAGGTAATGTGATTTAGTCAGAAAGTGCAGGCTTTGGAAACAGATGTACTAGGATCAAATTTTAGTTCTTGAATATTCCATTTGACTTTGTGAAATTTCTTAACCAAAAAACGAAACAAGTTTTTTAGCCTCTCTAAGCCTTCATCCTGGCATCTCAACTTATTTTGTGGTCAATAAATGTTTATTTCTCTGAAGATTAAGTTAATGTTTATAAATGTACTTACATATTTCTTTTTTAACTCGAGCTAATTTCTTCTATTAATAATACTCTTCATATTCACTGACATCATATCTGAAACAAATAAAAGAACTTAGGTATTTAAGTCAGGTAGGAAAAGGAACCCCAAAGAAATTTTAACGCTAGTGTTCATTGAACTCACTACTGCTAGAAAATCAAAGAACAAACAAACAAAACATTTAAACGTGAGGGGAAGAAGTCCACAGAGATAGAACACAGGCCCATGCAAGTCAATCCCATGCAAGCTTGTAGTAAAGCATTTCTTCCTTCCAGCCCAGCATATGACCTATGACTGCCTTTAGCTGTGCAGTAGCTACAGCACCAGGCTTCTCAGTCCCATCTTTTTTTTTTTTTTTTTTTTTTTTTTTTTTTTTTTTTTTTCAGACAGAGTTTCACTCTTGTTACCCAGGCTGGAGTGCAATGGCGCGATCTCGGCTCACCGCAACCTCCGCCTCCTGGGTTCAGGCAATTCTCCTGCCTCAGCCTCCTGAGTAGCTGGGATTACAGGCACACGCCACCATGCCCAGCTAATTTTTGGTATTTTTAGTAGAGACGAGGTTTCACCGTGTTGACCAGGATGGTCTTGATCTCTCGACCTCGTGATCCACCCACCTCGGCCTCCCAAAGTGCTGGGATTACAGGCTTGAGCCACCGCGCCCGGCCAGTCCCATCTTTTAATTCTCCTTTCATACAAAAGATTAGTTTCTTTAGCTTTAGTCATTTTGATGGTTTTTCCCCTAGATTATTGCTTCTTAGATTGAGGTAACTGAAGTACCCAAAAAAGAGATCCCCTATGGGTCTAACTATCTTTGGGAAACCTAACCATTTAATACAATCAAACCAGAGCCTGTGGAATCACCATCACTTGGGGTTCCTGTCTGGCAAGCAATTTCCCAGTCTACTCTCCAGATGTTGTGATTTATGATGTTGGGAGTAGAATCTAGGAATATGTTGTACAAGCAAATCAGATTATTCTTTTACATTCTAAAGTTTGAGAATCTGATGAAACTGGTAGTTTTTCTCTACATTTATCATCTTCATTCCATATGAAAATCTGCTATGATGACTGGGAATAACGTGTCACTTCTTTAAGAGGATTTGGCTGCTGATGATTATTTGCCATTTCATTAAGCTGTCTCAAAGACTTTTGAAGGAGTACTATCACACAACTTCTCTTCCAACCATTGCAGCTGTGGGGCACCTTTTCCCGCCCAAAATTGGTCCAAAGAGGCCTGGAACTGTCACTACAGAAACTTCAGCTGAGCTACGTGAATCTTTACCTCATTCATTACCCGGTATCTTTGCAGGTTAGCACAACTTGTTTTACTTTGGTGATCAACATAAATACTAGTCACTGAATGCAAGAAAGGAAACAGTTTCTGAGGATGAGATGATACTTTTAAGATTTTCTCTTGTGCTTTTTATTGTTTTTTGTTGTTGTTGTTATTGTTGTTTTCTGAAGTTCTTCTAAACTCAGTTCACAACACTAGTCCCAGAGTGACAGGAGTTCAGTGGTGTAAACAGCTTTGCCTCAGTCTTGTGGATGTACTGACAATATTTTCAAATTCTTATCCTCTGGAGCTCAAACCCACATGACCGACAGTGGAGTTCAGTTGCGGAACAGGAAGTTCCGTGAGGACAAGACTCAGCTTTGAATGCTGACAAGTCACTGGCAAGAGAGAGAGAGCTCTTTGCAAGGGTCCAGGACCAGGAGGCCTGCTGGGTATCACACTACCCTAGAGTCTGCCCAGGATAGAATCCTAAGTGCCTCAGCTTAGCCTTGACACAGACAATATTGATTAAATTTGTAGCGCTCAAAGGCATTTCTAGGATGCATGTTTCCTACATGTGCTGCCTTTGCCGTTAGCATAATTTTACAAATCTATTCAAGAATAGGATGGAGGGTTCCATCAGTCTCAAGGTTTATAGGCCCTAAGGTTGGCTGAGACCAGGCAGAGCTTTGTGCAAACTCTCCTTCTTTCCTGTGTTCCAGCCTGGAGAGGAGTTTCTCCCAATGGACTCACAGGGAAAGATCATTTTTGACACCGTGGATCTCTGCAGCATGTGGGAGGTGAGTGCAGCTCCAGTGAGCCCATCTCTGCACCTTGCAGGAGACAGAAAAAATACACAAGGAATTCGGGAAATGGGACCTGGTCTAAGATGCCCAAAGTTCAGACTCGGGAGAGCCCTCAATGTCCCTCTGCCTCTGCTTTCACATTTCATTCACTTACTCATCCAGCAAGTATTATTCAGTGCCTAGGGTGTATCAAGTTCTATTCTGTGTACCCAGAGAACATCAGTGAGCAGAACCAGGGCATTGGTCCATGCATGGGGAGGTGCTGTGGTAGGTGGGGGTGAGAAATAAAGCTGTGTGCTGGAGTCGGTTTGGGGCACAGACCTGCAGTGATAAACGGAGTGGCAGGGTAGGCGTCTTTGAAAGAGTGACATTAAAGCGAAGACTTGTAGCAGATGCAGGAACTGATTGCTTGGATATCTGGGGAAAGAGTGATGCAGGCAGAAAGAGAGACAAGGCAGCGCTTTTCTTTTGTTTTTGTCTTTTTAGATGGAGCTTTGCTCTGGCAACCAGGCAGGAGTGCAATGGCAAGTTCTTGGCTCACTACAACCTTTGCCTCCTGGGTTCAAGCAATTCTCCTGCCTCAGCCTCCCGAGTAGCTGGGGTTACAGGCATGTGCCACCATGCCTGGCTAATTTTTGTATTTTTAGTAGAGACGGGTTTCACAACATTGGCCAGGCTTGTTTCAAACCCCTGACCTCAGGAGATCCACTTGCCTCAGCCTCCCAAAGTGCTAGGGTTACAGGAGGGAGCCACTGTGCTGGGCCACAGCAATGTTTTTAAGAGGGGAGAGATAGTAGTGTGTCCAAGAACAGCAAGGGGACATGTGAGACTGGACATTGTGAGTGAGTGGACAGTGCAGGGAATTAGGTCAGAAAGCAGAAGCCAGTGGTCCCACGGGTGGAAGACCTGCCTCTCAGGCCACACCTGCTGCACTTCCTGTTCTCTTGGTACTTGGTACTGGTTTTGCCATTGCTCCATCAGACTCTTCCAGGTATTCACTAAAGACCATGCTAGTTCCCTTAACTCTGTCCTGGCCACCTACTCACATTGTTTTCATTCCATCTTCGTGCCCATTTATTTTACTTATTTACTTTTCGTTTTTCTCTTACTCGGTCCATTCGTGCCTTATTGATCGACATCTGCACTTTGCAAGGCTGTGTCGCTCCCACTGTCTCATACTCAATCTTCGCCTGCCTCTAGCCTGCAGACATTTATTATTTGCCTCTAGCTGGCTACATAGATTACTCCTCACAACACCTTCCTCTCCAGGCCATGGAGAAGTGTAAGGACGCAGGATTGGCCAGGTCCATCGGGGTGTCCAACTTCAACCGCAGGCAGCTGGAGATGATCCTCAACAAGCCAGGGCTCAAGTACAAGCCCGTCTGCAACCAGGTGAGCACCAGCCATCTGCCCCACCAACTGCTTCCTCTGCTCTTTGTCTTCCTCTATTCTCAATTTGACAAAGCTACCTGATGACATTCACATGTATTTTACCTTTCAACATCAGATGCTTCAAGGGAAGAGAACACACTTTGAATTGTTGAAAAGAGTGCATGTCACCTTATCAAAAAATAATCTTAAGGTTTTTAAAAAAAAATACTAAGAGTATAATCTACCAGGTGCTATAGTGGTTGGTTCTAGAAGTTAAAACTAGTGAATGACTGACAACAACTTTTTTTTTCTCTTTCTTTCTCTTTTTTCTTTCTTTTTTTTTTTTGAGATGGAGTTTCACTCTTGTTGCCCAGGCTGGAGTGCAATGGCACAATCTCAGCTCACTGCAATGTCCGCCTCCCAGGTTCAAGTGATTCTCCTGCCTCAGCATCCCATGTAGCTGCGATTACAGGCAGTCACCACCACGCTTGGCTAATTTTTTGTATATTTAGCAGAGACAGGGTTTCACTATGTTGGCCAGGCTGGTCTCAAACTCCTGACCTCAGGTGATCCATTTGCCTTGGGCTCCCAAAGTGCTGAGATTACAGCATAAGCCACCATTCCCAGCTGACAACCACCTTTTTTTTTTTTAAACAGAAAAGATCAGTAAATTTGGAAAATAATTTCATATCAATTTGTATGTAAAAGAAAATGGATGATTCATTTTTATGTTTGCCAACTCCTTTAAGGGCTGTGTTGTGAGATAACCACTGAGCCTCTCCACAGTACAAAATCCCTCCCAAACTTATGAAAAGCAACTGTTTGGATTCCGAGTAGGCTTTTTAAGACAGTCCCTTTTCATAAGTTTGAGAGAGATGTGGATAACGGTGAGGTTGCATAACAATTTGAATGCACTGAATGTCCCTAAAGTAGGCACTTAAAAATCATTAAAATGGTAAAATTTAAGCATGAGATTGTCGTAATCAGTTGATTTAAGAAAACATGGTAAAAGTTATGTTTTGGATATTTTACCACAATACAAAATATAAAAATGTTATTAAAGTCTAGTCAATAAGATAAGCCCACTTGAATGGGCAACACATAACCTGCAGTATCCTGGAGGATTATGAGGCAAGTCACATGACTGCAGGAAGAACTGGCAATCCATCGGTGCTGGGGAAGGCTCACACTTCAGCCAGGTGGCCACATCTCCATTTAAACATCTGACATGCAGACTAAGTGAGGATGATCATCAGTTTATAATTGGCTATTAGTAAATCTTCATTTATTTTTTTTTTTGAAGAAAAAAACAAATAGTAGTTCTAAAATGTTTTCTTTTGTGACCCTTGGGAATTTTACCTCCACTTTGCACATCATCAATTTAGAGAAAGAAAAAAAAAATGGTTTTGAGTTCGGTAGTTGATGAAGACCCAAAGGAGAATCTGAACATTACCTTGAACTGTAAAGGGCGAAAAGAATTTGGCTAAGTGAAGGCTGATTGGCTGGGAGGGACTTTACATGGCCTCGAAAGCTTGAGCAAAAGTACAGCTGGTTAATTATGTGCAGCAAACTGATCATAGTGAGACATTCACTCAGGTAAGGGTTACAGGGTCCAGGTGGGTCTTAAGCCCTGAATCTAATGAGCTACCCTTCCTTACTTTTTAGTGTTATGACTAAGCAAACACACATGCAGCAATTCCATAGCAGGTTGATGTGCACTGATAATTAAGCCAATACGGGGCCTTTCCTGCAGGCTGGGGTTGGAGAACACAGTTCAAGTGAGCCTTAAATGCGGTCTCTTGCTTTTCTTTGGATCTCTGTCCATTGCTCTTATCAAATCACTGGAGTCAGGGAACAAACAGTACTCCAAAACCTAAAATGCAATAAAAATAAAATAAAATAAAATAAAATTTAATTTAATTTAAAAAAAAAAAAAAAAAGCATGCAGCCAGAAGTTCATTTGCCAAACTCTTGGATTCCGGGCTTGTGGATCACAAGCTAAAAAGTCATTACTCACATCCTCAAATAATGTAAACAGTTCATCAGATGGAAAACTAGCAATTCGACTCAATGGAGAATTGATGTCACAGGGCAAAATGCTGTCCCCAGTTCTGGAGAGATAAGCTGATAGAGACACCATCAGTGTTTCACAGTTGGGACCAGCGCTGAGTAGGAAAACTTACACCGTCATTACTGAATTGCTGGGAGCTCAATGTGGACAAGTCTGAAAGAGAATACTCCAGGGACACCCAGTCTTAGGGAGGCCTCCACACTTTTGTAAGTTGTACCTCTACTGTCTATCAAGTTTTTGCAGTGAATACCAGAGACAGATCTCCTCATGCTTCTGGCTGGAGAAGCCCAGAGTAGCCATGTTTTCTTTAAAGGGCCTGCCCTCAGCAGAAGATATTTTACTAGAGCCTGTGCCTGAAGTTTTACTTGAATCTAACCTAAAGAAAAAGAAATACTCAATTACAACTGAGAGAATCAACAAAATCTCCTGGAACTCACAAGTGAATATAAAAAGGTTGTAGTGCGTGAGGTTAATATACAAAAATCAATTGCTTTTCTATATATCGGCAATGAAAAAGTAGAGTTTAGAATTAAAAACACTATGTCATTTACATTAACATCATACAAATCAGCATTTCAGTATAAATCTAATGAAGTGGGCTGGGTGCAGTAACTCATGCCTGTAATCCTAGCACTTTGGGAGGCTGAGGCGGGCAGATCCCCGGAGTTCAGGAATTCAAGACCAGCCTGGCCAACAAGGTGAAACTATGTCTCTACTAAAACTACAAAAATTAGCTGGGTATAGTGATACGTAACTGTAATCCCAGAAACTTGGGAGGCTAAGGCAGGAGAATCTCTTGAACCCAGGAGGCAGAGGTTGCAGTGAGCCAAGATCATGCCACTGCACTCCAGCCTGGGCAACAGAACATGACTCTGTCTCAAAATAAATAAATAAATAAATAAATAAATAAATAAATAAATAAAAATATATGGGTAAGATCTATACAATCCCAATAAAATTACCAGTAAGTTATTTTTGTGAATACCAATGAACTCATCTTAAAGTTCACACTGAAAAGTAAGAAACAGAATAGCTGACACAATACTGAAGAAGAAAGTCATATAACTAAAACTACCCATCTTTAAGAGATACTATAAAGTACAGTAATCATGACAATGTGATATTGGTGAAAGAATAGACAAATAGATCAATGGAATAGAACAGAGAGAGCCCAGAAATAGACCCACACAGATAGAGTCATCTGATCTTGACAAAGGAGCAAAGGGAATTCAGTGGAGAAAATAATTTTGACAAATGGTGCTGAAAAAACTGTACATCCATATTCAAAAATTTTAAAAAAGATTTAGACACAGACTTAACATCCTTCATGAAAATTAACTCAAAATGGATCACAAACCTAAATGTAAAATAGAAAACTATAAAACTCCTAGAAGGTATAAAACAAACTAGATAACCTTGGGTATGGTGATGACTTTTTAGATATATTACCAAGGGCATGATCCATGAAAGAAAGAACGAATAAGCTGGATTTCATTAAAGTTAGAAAATTCTGCTTTGTGAAAGACACTGTCAAGAAAATGAGAATACAAATCCCTGATTGGAAAAAATATTTGCAAAACGTATTTCTTATATAAAATTGATTTGTAAATTATACAAAGAAATCTTAAGACTCAAGAATAAGAAACCATAAACAACCAAATGTAGAAATGAGCAAAAGATCTGAACAGTTTAACACAGATATATAGATGGCAAATAATCCAATAAAGTTGCTCAACATCATATATCACTAGACAATCATAAATTAAAAAGATATTACCGCACACCTGTTAGAATGGGCAAACTTCGAAACACTGACAACACCAACTGCTGCAGAGAATGTAGGGAAACTGAAACTCTTCTTAATTGCTGGTGGAAATGATGTAGAATATTTCTTTTTGGTCACTTTGCAAGCCAGGGATCCCCAGCTGGTGATGCCTCACCAGCGCCTCACTCGACCAGGCTGATGAACCATAGCTGTGTGATAGCTTGTACCTGAGTTTGGTGGTTCTTAAGCTCTTGTACTACATCCAAGAAGAATGAGGAATGCTGGAAATTGAAGGGAAAGGAGGGAGGAGAAGAATTTTATTGAGTGATGAAAATGGCTTTAGCAGAGAGGGGATGCAGGGTTGGTCCCCCTACCCAAAGGCAGGAAAGTCCCCACATGTGGCTGGGTCTGGAGCCTTTTATGGACTCATAATGGGGAGTGCATGCTGATTGGTTTGTGAATACGCAAAAAAGGTTAAAGTGAAGACACCACTCAAAGGTGTGCATGACAGTGCAGAAAACCAATTAGGAAAGAGTAGGTATATGTAAAATAGGTGAAGGGTGGGGATCAACCAGAGGAAACTGTGACCAACAGGAAGACAAGTGCTCAATCTGGTCCAAGGATTTAACTTGTAGTTTGGATTTCAGGCTATAAACTGTCCTGGGCTTGGAGATAGGGTTTCACTGGGGACTGACCCTTATCTGCTTAAGCATTTGGCTATATCCTGCCACTCTCAAAAGTACAAAATGATATAGCCACTTTGGAAGACATTTTGGCAGTTTCTTATAAAACTGTACATACTCTCACCACATAATCCAGCAGTCAGCAGTCATGCTTTCTGGCATTTACCTGAATGAGTTGAAAACATGCCCATGAACACTTATACCATATATATTCATCATTGCCAAAACTTAGAAGCAACCAAGGTGTCACCATGGTTCATGAGCAAGAACCGAAAATGTCACCATGGTTTTCAGTCTGGGAAACTGAAATTCTCTTTTGACCTTGTACACAACCTGCCCTCTAAGAGCACTGAGTTAATTATTTAATCAACAGTGCCATGCCCTCCATGGGCTGTAATCCCAAGTGAAGCCCTTGGGAGTTTCATGGGTACAGCTGTGGATGACCATCATGGCTTGGCCAGTGTTGCTGGGATTCTAAAAGATATTTGATACCATGCACTGCAGCACTGCATGTCCCTGGTAAACTTGGTGGTTCTGTAACCTAACTCTCCTGCTTGGCATTCTGCAGGTGGAATGTCACCCTTACCTCAACCAGAGCAAACTCCTGGAGTACTGTAAGTCCAAGGACATTGTCATGACTGGATATGCTGCCTTGGGGTCTGACCCAGGCAAGGATTGGTAATAATCTCCATAAAGTAACTTTGTTGTGGTTTTTGTTTTGTTTTGTTTTTTTGTTTATTTGTTTTTTTAGATGGGGAATCTCACTCTGTCACCCAGGCTGGAATGCAATGGCACAATCATGGCTCGTTGCAGGCTTGACCATCCAGACTCAAGTCAGGATCTTCCCTCCTAGATTTCCTGAGTAGCTGGGACTACATGCCTGCACCACCATGCTTGGCTAATTGTTTATTTTCATTTTTGTCAAGACAGGGTTTCACCATGTTACCCAGGCTAGTCTTGAACTCCTGGGTTCAAGTGATCCTCCCACCTTGGCCTCCAAAAGTGCTGGGATTAGAGGTGTAAGCCACCACTTCTGGCCCATAAAATTATTTTATTCATAGATACTTTACCTTCTGAAGTAATCTCTCAACTATCTGAAGAAATTAAAAATAGACGGCAGGAATAAATTCACTTGTAAACCTTTTACCTAACCCAGACCTACATTATAAGAACTCAATAGAACTGCCATCTTCCATTCATTTGTCCTTTTTTGGATGTAACGAAAGAAGCAAACAGATATTGAGATGGCCAGAAGGTAATGAGAAATGTTGTAGGAGATTAGCACCCCTGACCAAAATGAGCAGCCCCCAAGTAAAATGGATATTCAGCCTCAGACTTAAAGCATCTCTGCCTCTCCTCTCAGGGTGAAAAAAGACAACCCAGTTCTCCTGGAGGATCCAGTACTCAATGCCATTGCTGAAAAGCACAGGCGAACTCCAGCCCAGGTTGCCCTGCGCTACCAGCTGCAGCGGGGGGTGGTGGTCCTGGTCAAAAGCTTCACTGAGAAGAGAATCAAAGAGAACTTCCAGGTATAGGACAGGGTGGTGGCAGCAGGGGACTGACAGAGCCACATCATTTCCCCATGGTATATGGGTTTTTGCAAAGCTCTCAAGGTGTATTTGGGTAAAGCTTATCCCCTTCTACATTCTATGCATATTAAGCACCATATTTAATTGCTTTGTCCCCTAGTGCTGCAAGGGAGAGTGGGATTGTTGGAAAGAACACTAAAGACAGGGTTATAAGCAAGTTCTAATCCTGGGTTTTCCCCTACCGTATGGTGCTGGGTAAGTCATCCCTTGATTTCTATAGCTGTAAAATAAAGGAATTAGATATGTGAGGTTTAGGCTTAATTTTTCTAGGATTTCTTTGCTGCAATGACAGCTCCCCAAAAAAAGTCTCTGAGGAAGGATTAGCAATGCCAATCTCAACTTTACAAATGGACAAATTCCCATGACATGCCACTGAATGAATCATTTGTCCATGACAACTCACTCATAAATCCTACACAAATTCCTACATGGAGGTAACGAGGTAATCCTGCATGGATTTTGTGTGTTTGTGAAGAGGGAAGAAGAGGAACGGCAATTGCCTCAAGGAAATTAAATTGATCTTTTCACATTTCTGACAGGTTTTTGACTTCCAGCTGACACCAGAGGACATGAAAACCATAGATGGCCTGAACAAGAATATGAGCTATTTTGACCATTCTCTGTAAGTAACTTGTTTTGTTGTCAACACTAGGGAGCAGGACAGTGGAGGGAATTCAGTTGATTTCAATCCATAGAAGGCAGCATTTGTTGCTTAGGAAAGCCTTTGGAAAACATTTTTTCTTCATACTTCAGATCAGAGATATTTTCTTCTGAGGCTCAGGGCTCTGCCCAGATAAGAGTGTGAGCAGAACTCAACACAGACTGAAGCTCCCTGTTGAAAACAGAGCTCTCCTGGTCCCCACTGCCTCCGTGTGTCCCTCATCACTAGGCTTTCCTCCAATTTATATCCTAAGAATTCCATGGTTTCTATCTCTAACCCAGACCTTTTTCCTGGTCTCCAGTAGCCCACCAATTTTCTATTAAATTAAAATTCCCTGGAGATGTTCCCTACAGATAGTTCTACTTATTCTTACAGTTTAAACTTAATACACTTAAAATTGAAGTCTTCCATGTTCTCTCTCTGTACTCGTCATGGTAATACTACAAAGACCACTATTATGGCACAAACCTCACCCCCTACATCTAAATAACCACTTCATCCTGATGATTCTATATTTCAACATTTCTCATGCTTCCGTAATATCCATCACAAAACCCACCCTCTCTCATTCAGGTTTTGAACCTGAATTGGCTCTCCTGCAGGGCCGGCCACAGGGGTGGATCTTCAGCCGTGGTTTCCAAACAGTGTTCAGAACTTTGCCCAGGTCTGCGGGGTCTCGGTAGTAAAGAGTAAACAGTTTCCAAAAATTAAGAAGGAAAAAGGGAAGAGGCTGAGTATCAAGCAAATGGAGGTGATAATGAAAATCCAGTGGCAGGAAAAAATTTTTTCTAAAGATAAACTTTTAATGACCCTTCAAACTTTTAGATTCTATGATTCTCAGAAGGCTATAGAGACAAATCTGGAAGTTTTTTTTTTTCTCTTTGGTGGCATTTAGTACATATATGTATGTATACATCTCAGAACACAGGAAGACCAACCAATCCAGTAGCTCTTGGACTGACTCCCATCCTCTGCCGCCCAGTAAGTCTGGCCACCAGCACCTTAGCTCCCTTGAAGTTATCATGGTCTTTGTCACTGTTAGTTCAATCACGACAGGAGCCTAAAATTCCTGGTTCCCAAATAGCTCTGTGTACACCACCTTAACACCTTTTCACTGCCCTTCCTGAAAGTCCTACTCAACCATTTTATCCTTGATGTCTTCTGTAAATGTTCTTTTCATCTTTTCCCAATAGCTGAAACCCTATTTCTCCTGGGAGCACTGATTCCCATCAGCTCTCTCCAGCTGGGGCTGTTATCCTTCCCAAGACCTCAGCAGTGCTAAGTCTGACTATTGAGTTGGAATCGTCGTCTTAAGGGCATTCAGCTCTGCGCTTTGTGTCATCAGACCAACCCACCACTACCACTGTCCTTTGCAGTCATCAGGGCTGCATTCCCAGGTCTTCTCTCATCCACCGAAGATTTTAGTTCCTAGTTTTCACTCCATCCAGCAGAACTGTCATAATTTCTTACGATTTCAACACTACACAGATAATCCTTGTAATAGTCCGATCTTTCAGTTTTGTGACTTTCCTCTTCCAGTGTGTTTATCCTTCAGTCTCCCTCAGCCTGTCAACCTAGTAGTCTCATCCTAGACATTGTCATTACGAGTTACTATAACGACTGGATGTCAGTTTTAAATTCTTACACTACAGTCATCACCTCCTACATTTCCAGCTCCTTTGCTACATGATGAACTTCAGTAATCCTTTGATTACTGCATGACCTACAATTCACTGACCCTACCACCTTTTCACTGTAACTTGACCCTCTAATGTACCCTCTGTCCATTTTTACCTGCTTAAATTTCGGGGTCAATCAATATATTAACATCCTTGCAGATACTCTAAACCCTTGCCATTTCTTCTAATGTTCTTTTCTGGTTTCTCCTCATTAGCTTGACTGCTCAGTTTTGGAGTGACTTCTCTTTGCTCTACCCACTTTTACATCATTGTTGATTTCATCTATTCTCATGCTTTAAATATCATCTAAATATAGACTCACCAAATTATATTCAGCACAGGTCAGAGCTCTGGACCAAGGTTTATATATCTATACACCTCTACCTGGATATCTATTATGTGTCTCCAAATTATCATGTCTGTAATTGGGCTGATAATGGCATCTGCAGTTTCTTCCCCAATACACACACGCAGAAACACACACACACCATGCTCATACCAAAGTTTTTCTGATAAAGTAACTGGCTCTTGGTGGCCTCCCTTTCCTGTACTTCAGCTCCAGGCATAGTAGTCACAGTGAAGAGGTTAAAAAGGGTGTAAACCAGAAGTCCTCAATATTTGGGAGCCTGCCATCTCACTCAGAATTAAAAGCAAATTCATTACAAAGACCTAAAGGGCCAATAGGTACTCCCTTTCTTAACTTTGTGTGTCCCTGTCCTACTATTCTCTCAATTCTTGACTCCAATGCAGCCCCAGTGACCTCCTTGCTGTTCCTGACTGTATTAGTCTTTTTCACACTGCTGATAAAAATATACCCAACACTGGGAAATTTACAAAAGAAAGAGAGGTTTAATGGACTTAACAGTTCAAGAGGCTGGGGAGATCTCACAATCATGGCAGAAGGCAAAGAGAAGCAGGTCATGTCTTACATGGATGGCAGCAAGCAAAAAGAGAGCCTGTGCAGAGAAACTCCTGTTGTTAAAACCATCAGATCTCATGAGACTTATTCACTATCACAAGAACAGTGCAGGGAAGACCCACCCCCATAATTCACTCACCTCCCACTGGGTTCCTCCCATGACATGTGGGAATTGGGGGAGTTACAAGCCAAGATCAGATTTGGGTGGGGACACAGCCAAACCATAACAGCAGCATATGTCAGGCCTGTCTTAGGGCCCTTCCACTGGCCATTCTCTCTGCCCAGAAAGCTCTTCCCCATATAGCAGGATGGCTCACTCCTTTACATCCTTCAGGTCTTCACTCACACATCACTCAATGATGGCTCCTCTGTCACTTTTCTAGAAATTCAACTCATTTTTGTCCTTGACACATATCCCTAACTTACATACCATATATTTTACTAGTGTATTTAGCTTATTTTCTCTTTATCACATTAGAGTGTTAGATTCTAAGGGCAGGGTTTTTGTTTTGTTTTTGTTCTTTTGTTCTTAAACTACTCTCTCCCTGGGTACTTAATAAATATTGGTTAAATAAATAACATAATCAAATGATAAAGAGGGCAAGGGTAACGGAGAATGAAGATACATGCAGGAACACCTGACAATAAATATCAGTAATATTAATCAACAGTAAGTATTCAATGACTTGGCATTTTCTATGTCAAAAATTATTACTTTGTGTATAGAAAGAGTTTATCTCCCATGCTAAAACAGAAGCACCTGGTTGAAGTGACTTCATCTTCAAAACACTGTGTCTGTGTCTAGCCAGAATATAGAATTTTCTGCCAAGAAAAGCCATAGATAAATTGTTTCTGAATGCCTGACATATATTGAACAGTGATAATTTTATCACCTTCCTCATTATCACCTTAGAATATTTATTAACTTTACATATTAAATCACACTGAGCATTGTTTTAAAAGACATAGAGTTTATTTCTGCCCTCCTGGAGGTTCAAAATATAAACACAAATAATTTATCTCCTCAAGCTGCAGAATAACATATTGAAAAAATGGAATGCCTTGGTATATTTGTGAATGTGTGCCCCTGTGTGTAGGTATATTTATTTTCCACAATGTATTCATGACAGCATGATACACTAGTATGTTATTATCATAAAACTAGTTGAGTTTGTACCTAACTCATAAAGAAAACTGTGTTAATTTTTAGGCTCATACCAGTTTAACAGAAATCTGTCTTCATCCAACCCAGAAACAAGGATTTGACTGAGACTCTCCCTTTACCTTTTAGCTTTTCTCACCACCTGGATTCTCAATTTCCTGATGAATATTAAGAAAATTATCTGTGGTTGTTCCAGAGCTTATTGATTTTGGTTGATGAATAGAGACCATTTCAAGGATGAGAAGTTTCTAGTATACCCCATTGATTAGCCTGCTCAGTCACAAGTTGGCCTAAGACCCTGGATCAGAAAATAAAAGTATCTAAACCCAGTTTTCTTTGATTCCCACTGCCACAACTGCCAAAATAAAGATGTATTTGAAGCAATCTAACTGCTGTAGCTTTGGCATTTGCTTTTGTTTCTTTCCCATCTCACTGAGGTTAAGATGCTGACATCTCTGGAAGGGCTGATGGAAGGGGTGATCATAAGGGATGTGACTCTCTCAAAAAATGCTAATAACTTGGTATACCTTCAAATTTGCAAAATCTACTTTTTTACTTGTTTGTCCTTCTTGAGCATTTTTTTCATTTCTGTGTATTATCCACACTATACAATTTTATTAGATATTATAAATGAATTTAACACTTAATACATAATACCTAAAATGTCCTGATTTTAATTTTAAAAGTTACTTATCATACCAAGAACAAGGATGGTCTCAAGTTGAATAAACAAAGATAAACAGCAGATGGCTACAACCAGATGACCAAGACGTTATAATTATCCGATCAAGTTTTTAAAGCAACCATTGTAAAAATGTTCAACAAACAATTGTAAACACACTTGCAACAAATGAAAAAACAAAGTTTCAACCAAAAATTAGAAAGTGTTAGAAAATGAATAGAAGATAAATGAACAACCAAATTTGGAAATATTAAAACTGAAAGTTACAATATACAAAATTAAAATTTTAGTCAATAGGATCAGTAACATAAGAAATAGAGGAGATAATTATCGATCTGGAAGGTAAAGCAATATAAATCATCCAACAGGAGCAACAGATAGAAAACAGACAGAAGAAGAAAAGGAACAGAGCTTCCAGGACCTGTGGAACTACACCAAAAGACTAAACATTCCTGCCATCAAAGTCCTGAAAGGAAATGAAGCAAAGAGTGGGCTGGAAAAGTACTTAGAGATGCAGTGTCTACTTTAATTGCTGAAAGCTTTTCAAATTTAGAAACACAAACCTGTAGAGTCAAGAAGATAAGTGATCTTCAAATAATATAAACCAAAAGAAATCAAATCAAGACACATCATAAATATATGAAAACTAAAAGAAAAGCTTGTGAAAAAGCAAGGGAAAAATAACACCTATAGAATAAAAAGTATTAAAATAATTGTGAATTTTTTAATCAAAAAATCATGGAAGCAAGTGACAATAATTTTCAAATGCTGAAAAAAAAAAAAATTTTCAATCCAAATGCTTGTTCAGCAAAAATATCTTTCAAAATAAAAGAGATATTGTCAAGACATTTGCAGGTGAAGGAAAATAATTTTTTTTCCAGAAGACCTAACCTAAAATAATAGCTAACATAAGTTCTCAAAACAGAAAGAAAATAGAAAAAAAAATAGAATCTTAAAACATCAGGAAGAAAAAAGTACAAATATGCAAGCAAAAATATGGGTAAATGCAATAGATTGTTCCCGTCCTCTTGAATTTTCTAGATGATGTTTGGCAATTGAAACAAAAACTAAATGTCTTATATGGTTTTAAATGGATGTGTTAGAAATACTTAATGAAAGTAGATTATTAATGGGGGAGGGTAAAGGAACTTGAAAGGAGGTAAGAATTTTGTACTTCTTTCAAAGTAGTAAGATAATGACAACAGTACACGGTGATAATTGTGTATATGTACTGTAATACTAATAGCAACCAATGCTATGCAAAGAGATACACCACAACATGTTATGGATTAATCAAACTGGATCTAACTGGGATTTATAGAACATTCTACTTGACAATACCACAAAGCAGATTCTTTTCAAGTCCCCAAAGAGCACAATCAAGGCAAACCATATTCCAGCCATAAAACAAACCACAACATCTAGAAAATAACCAAAATCATAAAAGCCCGAACAAATAGACATTAATTGAAATTATACAGAGTATGTTATTCAAGGAAAAATGAATCAAATTAGAAACCAAAAACAGAATGGTAACATGAAAGTCACCAAACTCTTGGAAATTAAACAACACACTTCTAAATAATCCATGGGTAAAATAGGGGGTCTTGAGGGAAATAAGTACATTGAACTGAATGAAAATAAAAATGCAACATATCAAATTGTGTAGAACACAGCTAAAGTAGTGCTAAGAGGAGATTTTGTAGAAAAGGGGAAATTCTTAAATCGACAATCTAAGCTCTTATCTCAAGAACCTAGAAAAAGTAGAGCAAAATAACCCAAAGAAAACAGAACTATGGAAATAATAAATAGAGGAGCTGAAACCAATGAATTTGAGAGGAAAAACAGAGACAAAAAAACTGAAGCAAATAATTGGTTGTTTGAAAAGATAAATTCAAGCAAGCTTCTGGCAAGACTGACATAAAAAAAGAGAGAGAAAAAACACAAACTACCAACATAAGCAATGAAACAGGGAATTATGCTAAAGATCCTGTAGAAATAACCAGGATGGTAAGGGAGTACTACAAACAACTCTACACACATAAATTTCACGAGTTAGATAATGGACCAATTCCCTGAAAAATACACAAGATACCATAACCCAACAAAATAGATCATTTGAATAGCTCTATTACTATTTGGAAACTATTTTTGTGTGTTCTTCACATAGGGCGACGTAGGTATTTGCAGAAGTGTGAGAAGAATCTGTTTTGTTTTTTTCAGCAGGACGCAATTGAAGGAACCAGTTATTTTACCGAGGTTTTGACTGAAATGGTGTGCTTTCCTTTAAGGAATCAAACTTGACTTATAGAACCAGTAGTAGCTTCTTTGGAAAACTGGCCTCATGCCTTGTCTACACAGTCCCTTTACACAGTTTCTGACCCATGGTAAATAAAGAATGTCACTTTCTGACAGGCCCAGGAGCTTCAAGTTGTCTTAGGACCTCAAGAGGAGAGGAATGTACCCAAATCATGCAGGTTTTTGATAGTACACACCCATGGCTGGGCTTAAGGCTTTAAAAAGTCTTGTTTGAGATTCCTTATGGAACAAAGTTTCATCAAAGCCGATTTAAAAAGAAGCCTAAATGGCAAAAAAATTATTCTTGCTATGTGTTAAACAAATAATCAGGCCAAGTATAATAAGGCTAAAGCCTATTTTGCAAACAAATGAGTCCTATCATGATTTGTTTGTAATAAAAATGAGGACTGTAGAGAGACAAATGTTTCAAAAACTGTGGTACACCTGTTATTGGATTCTAGTCTCCACAGTTGGTTTTCTGTATTTTTATCTGCAATTTAGACTAACACTCCTTATTCCTTGAACTAACCAGTGATCTCTGGCTGCAGCTCAAAAGAACCTAGAGAGACAGGCCTTCAAGGTCCAAATGATCCTCAGTGAGGATATCATCTTCTAAATGCTCAGGAGTCACCCTTCTATAAAAGACTGCTAGACAGTCCATTAGTGGAACACAACAAAGCCAAAATCCTGTTCATGTTTCTCTTAGACCTGACCGGGTAGCAATTTCACCAACCCACAGAGTCACTCTGCCCGGACACATATCAAGAGACCAAAACCCACAGAACAACCTTCCCCACCCTGCTGTCAGTAGGAAGCAGTTACAGGGCCTGACCTTTGTCCATTTTCCCCAAGCGTCGGGTCTTGGACTCTTGACGGGGAATGTTAGAGTAGGTAGTTAGTCAAACATGAGCAGGGCATGAGAGGGGCCCTTCCCAGGAACATCAGGATCACCTGATGGTCACACAGTTGTTAACTTGTCCCGATAAAATAATAATTGGTTGCAGCTGCTGCCAGAGAAAGGCTATCTCTCAATAGATAGAAACACCTGAAATCGGTAAAGACGAGTTGCATTGCCTTAATGCCCATCAATACTGGATTGCAGTCTTTTTTAAATCTTTTATTTTAGGTTCAGGGTACATGTTCAGGTTTGTAAATTGCATGTCATGGGGAGGTGGTGTATAGATTATTTTGTCACCCAGGTACCAATCACTTGAAGAGTCCCTTCCCCATTGCTTGTTTTTATTAATTGTCGGAAATCAGATGATTGTACCTGTGCAGCATTACTTCTGAGCTCTCTATTCTGTTCTATTGATTCATATGTCTGCTTTTATACAAGTCTCATGCTGTTTTGGTTATTGTAGCCTTTCAATATAGTATGAAGTTTGGTAATGTAATGCCTCCACCTTTGCTCTGTCTTGCCTATTAGAGTCTGTTTTGGTTCCACGTAAACTTTAACATAGCATTTTGTTCTAGTTCTGTGAAGAATGTCATTGATAGTTTGATGGGAATAGCATTAAATCTGTACATTGCTTTGGGCAGTATGGCCATTTTAACAATATTAATTCTTCTTATCCATGAGCATGGAAACTTTTTCCATTTGTTTGTGTCATCTCTGATTTCCTCTTAGCAGTGTTTTATAATTCTCATGGTAGAGATATTTAGCTGTATTCTTAGATATAATGCACATTTATCATTCCAACAATCCTAGGGCACACACACATACACACAGGTACACACAGATACATGGAGGGATGCACACAGGTACACACACATACACAAACATGTGCACGCACATGCATACACATACACATGAGCACACATACAGGCACACACAGGTACACACATGCAGGCACATACACAGGTGCACACAGTCACACACACACACATTACAGCATCTATTTTTGGCTAACAATAATAAATGAGTCCATAACACCAACCTTCCCAGTTTCCCCCCCCTGGGGCTTTCAGATCATTCATAATTCTTTTCATCCTTCATTCCCAAGTAGTCTCTTCAGCATTTATGCCACAGGCATTTACTGAGTGCCCCTGTGTACCTGTCTTCTCAGCCCAGAAGTGACTAAGGTCAATGCGCGGGTGTCTCACGAAGGGAGTTTTGCAAGGCGGTGCCCTGCTCAGCATCCTAACTTGTATGGGAGGTGTGAGAGGCAGGAACGCTGCAGCCGGATCCAGGACGTATCACAGTGAGAACAGCCAGACACAGAGGCAGAAGCCCGAGAGCCACTCTCACACATGACCCACTGGTTTCACTCATGGCACAGTCCTCATTTCACCAAGCTGGCATTGCCTGTGGGCAAAGTCAGGACCATAGCAAGTGCTTGCTGTCCCTCAAATTTCAAACAGTGAATTCATGACGCCATCTGAGAGACTGTGCTTGCAAGCTTCCAGAAA